TCTATCTCTCTCTCTCTCTCTCTCTCTGAATCTCAACTTGCGCCGCATTGCGTAGAATCGATATTGGAATTTCATGCTTCTACCCTTGAAATTCCATTTGTCCGAGGCTCTCTATATCTCACGCTGCACTTTCGGAAGATAATAATGCTTCCGTAATGTTATTAATATGTAATTAGAATCTAGAGTTGTATCCCTCGAGGTATCTATCATCAATTTTTTTAATACGGACACGTGGCCGAAGGCTCGAAAGCACCAACGTCGTTTCAAATGCGATACTTTGGAGCATAATCGATTACTGTTTATTGCTGTTGATACATCGTTATACGAGAACACGTGTGGCTAGAGGCTTCTATGCGATTTTCTTAAAATAAAATAGAAACATCGCGATGCCTTGATTGTCCATTTCATTGGACATCCGATACGTTGCACGAGCAATTTCGCAAAAAAGAGATGACGCACGGCGTGTTTACCAGCACTCAAGAACACTGGATAGGTGTACCGATCGATTTCAACTCATTTTCCCCCTCCTAAAATATATTACAATTTGTAATTTTAATGTAAAAAAAATTGGCAGTTTAAAATTAATCACTGTCCCACTGTTAGGTCTATAATTTTTATGTTGAATCCTCGAGTCTGCAAAAATACGAATGAACAATGCGAGGAAAATAAAAATAGAAATGAAATACAATCTTTTTGACAAATAAGTGCATATTTCAGTTACAATAAATATTACATTCATCATTTTTATCAGACATTATCGTAAATAAACGTGAATAACGGTTGCTTCATTTACCAACCCAACGAATCCAAGAAGCCAACATTGTCAATGTAAATAGAAAATAACGATTTGCAGATACGTCAGGGTAGCGAATTTACTCCCACGCAAAGCCTTTCCTCCTCCAAGTGAGAGTTATAAAAAACAGTTAATTATAAAACTATAGCTATAACAAAGCCATTATTTTCGTAACGCATGATATAATAATTTTACATACATAGGAAAAAGGATGTCGATTCTTCTCTCAATTTTACGCGAAGGTCCAAAAGTCAATTTAAGGCAATTTTCAATTTGCGTCAGGTTATTCGGTCACGCCGGTGCCATGGAAATAATACGGCATAACTTGCAAATTCGTGGGAGACGAGCGCTCCGAAGACCAACAGAAAAAGACTGAACGCGCGCGAGGGAGTAAGAGCGAGCGTAATACACGCGTGCGTGGCCGCGCGTGTGTGTGCGCGCGAACGTTGTAAGAGAGCCAGAGAGAGAGAGAGAGAGAGAGAGAGCCAGAGAGAGAGCCAGAGAGTGAGAGAGAGTGAGAGCCAGAGAGTGAGAGAGAGAGAGAGAGAGCCAGAGAGTGAGAGAGAGAGAGAGAGAGCCAGAGAGTGAGAGAGTGAGAGAGAGCCAGAGAGGAGAGCGAGTGTGCGTGAGGGTGGGAAGGAGTGTTTTAAAAAGACTCACGCACTGCGGACGTCGAGCATGCGTGTGGCTACACGCGGACCTCGTATAACCATATCTCATTTCATACCTTGAAGACCGAGAAGAGCTGCAGCTCCTCGAGCGCGAGAAGAAAGACGCCGAGAAAACGCACGTCGAACTCGATGTGTGGCAGATTCGGCTCTCGATCGCTTCTCTCCCTCTCACTCTCTCACTCTCTCTCACTCTCTCTCTCTCTCTCACTCTCTCTCTCTCACTCACTCTCTCACTCTCTCTCTCTCTCTCTCTCTCGTTCTTTGTATCATTGTCTTCTTTCGCAGATTTTTTCTCCTCGTCCTTCTCTCGCTCTCCACCTTCATCTCCATCTTTATTTCTTGCTGCCCATCTCGCTCTCTCGCTCGCTCCCTCATTCCATCTTAATTTATCTCTCTTTGTCTCTCTCGCTCATTATAGGCGCATACACGCGGATGCCGGACCAGCGAAGAAGAAGAAGCCGCCGACAGTATACGATCGAACTGTCCGTGCAAATTTCAATTTTAACTGCTAATCTGCCGGCTAATAGATCTCTACCCCCCACCAGCGGCCAGCTCGAGCCCCCGTTGCCGCCGCCGCCACCGCCGCCGCCGCGTGCGTAAGTTTGTTCCCGTCCTGTCTGTACGGCAACACTCTGCAAATCGCTTCGTGGCCTTTCATTTAGATGAAAATTTCCTCGCCTCTCTTGCCACGAGTCCCGAGCGACAACGTCCTCACGTTCAGCTGCGCGCCACCTTTATTCGCGCGCCCGATCGCCCTTAACGGATATGCCCGGAAAAAGGGGAACTATTATCTTGACTCGTCGATGCCATGTAGAGCGCCACGGGAATAATTATGGGTTCGAGCGGAAACGGAGGCTTCGAATCCGAGAAACGCGAGCGCGATCGTTGGCGCTCGATGAGGCGACCTACCGCCCGCCACAGGCGTTTTTCGGCACAATATTTACCGAACCATTGTATTAGTGGGCTTGCGTATGGTACGCGGAGCCTAGAACCCGGCTACCCAAACTACCCAAGCGCCATACACTAATACACCGACCCATCCCCAATACAATTTGGCATTGGAATTTACGTATACGCTAAGGCGTAAGCGTCTCAACGATAAAAAGTTGTCGCGCAATATATAACGGCTGTACGCGACGGCTCGCCGAATTACTTACTCTATCGGCGTATAAATGAGTGCACGCTTTGCTAAATCATCGTTTTTGCGATCGTATTATCACTTTGGACGGCACTGATGTGTCGATTAGTAATAAAAAGTGTATATTTTCAGGGAGCGATTGTCCCTCGTCAGATATTATCAAACTCGCGTAAATACCCCCTCGTCTCTTACGATACGGCAATAACCGTTTACATTAATTTTTAAATAAAAGAGAGAGAAAAAATCGACTCTCGGCAATAACAATAATTTAAAATTCATATAAACGAATAAAAAAATATCTCATGTAAATTACTGTATATAATTTATCTCATAGCTATCGGTTAGGTTGGGTCTATAATATAATTAATATCTTATGAAATAATACTCGATTTCATGAAGCAGCCCCCGTGCATTTTACAAAATCGAGAAAGAAGAAAAAAAATTCTGATAAAAATACTAAAGTATTCAACGAATTGCACAATTGTTAATTATCGATGCATTCATTGCATTAGTCCCTTTAATTTATACAAATTAATGTTAGGTGGGATGAGGTATCGTGGTGGGGTGGTGGTGGATGTGGCCGGGGATAGGAGGAGGAGAGGAGTAAGATTCGATAATTCTCCATTATCGATGATATCTTTGTTCTCGTAGCGTAAATAGATTTACACGAAACGAATTTCCAAGCGGCCTATCGCATTACACGTATGCAATCAAGTTTAATATTTCTCTTTACGAAGGGTTCGTCGGTGCGCATCTTTGACGACAGTCTCGCGTGTACGTGCCTTAGAGACGTCGATAATACGTTTTATATGGAAAAACATTAAGAACGAAGAAGAGCTTCTCGTTTCGTCGCTCTGGTGCTCAGCAATGATTTATAGCAATATTTTGACATGAAATTTACAAGAGAAGATGAATCGATCGGCAATAGTCTTGGTAGTTGGAAATTCGCGCACGTGATGGTCACTTAAAGTCCGACATTGCGTTAATAGACGTATTTAATGTATTATTTGTCGACCTGTGGCGAACAATATATATATTATTCTCATATTTTGCGTATTACGATTGGTGCTGCATGAAATCCATTAATTGAGTGGAATTTCTTAAGTACGCAAATATCATGCGTTTCGTAGTATAATATTGAATAAATTCTTATATAATTATTTGTATATCTTGAGGACAATGAGATTGTGAATAATTTCTTCGTTTATGCTGGCTGGCTATGACTAATGTTTTTTTCTTTCTTTTTTTCTTTAATTTTTTTTTTAAATTTTTATTTTTTTTAAAAAAAAATTAAAAAAAAAAAAAAATTTTTTTTTTTTATTTTTTTTTATATATATATATATATATATATATATATATATATATATATATATATATATATATATATATATAATGAGATGGAAATTATGATGGAAATTAACAGAATATGCAGTTGACTGATTAGCCATCTTTCATTATTTCACCTGCGAATAATTATCCGAAGAATTCGTTTTACAAATAGGCATGGTGGGCATTTTTGTTTATATTACTTTAGGAATTGCTACAATACTAATAATACTTGAAAGCTGTTGAAACACATCGGTGTGCGAGATGTTTTTAAAGCGTCGTATTATCCGCGATGTTTGACGAATCGATTGAATTGGAATTTCACCGAATAGCCCAAAGAAAATTTACGTATTTATCTCGAGCGTCGCGCGCCTTTTTTCCGCCAACCTCATAAATAATTGTACATTTGTAAATCAACCAGCACGTTCAACATATACACGTTCTAATGCTACGTATCACATATATCAATACCAATTTCATTTCTCTTCTCTTCAAAAAGAATTTATATTATTAGAGCCGCGGTAGCGTCAGTTCAAGTATCTAAAGCTCGTTATTATATAAGATGGGAATGGCCGAAAGGAACGAGGTAAGATTATAATCAGCCATTATATCGCCACTGCCCGTCTCGCACTTTTCAAGAGAAAACGCCTTCATTTACAATAGTAAATGCGACATCTACGCGCGTTTTACGAGATGCGATAGATGTTTAGCGGCGTTAGGTAACGATGAGCGTTTCAACTGAAAGCGAAATTGGCCTAGTAGCTGTAACAAGAATTTTAGCAATAATTGATTCATCGGTCTCGCAATACGTACGACGTAGCCTAACGCGGGTATTTAGTTGAAAAAATGAAAAAATTAAGCGTGAAATGGAGGTATTTGAATAACAAACGAAGGCCCAGAGCCATTGATCCGGAGGCATTTAGCGGCTCGCGGATCGGACAAAAGCCGCCCGCTACTGAAACTCGCGAGCGCATAAGATTGTGACCCCGCCGCAGGAAGAAAAGAAAAAGGCGAACAATGCCGGAAAAATGTGTGAAACGGGTGAAACGGGTGAAACGGGTGAAACGGGTGAAACGGGTGAAACGGGTGAAACGGGTGAAACGGGTGAAACGGGTGAAACGGGTGAAACGGGTGAAACGGGTGAAACGGGTGAAACGGGTGAAACGGGTGAAACGGGTGAAACGGGTGAAACGGGTGAAACGGGTGAAACGGGTGAAACGGGTGAAACGGGTGAAACGGGTGAAACGGGTGAAACGGGTGAAACGGGTGAAACGGGTGAAACGGGTGAAACGGGTGAAACGGGTGAAACGGGTGAAACGGGTGAAACGGGTGAAACGGGTGAAACGGGTGAAACGGGTGAAACGGGTGAAACGGGTGAAACGGGTGAAACGGGTGAAACGGGTGAAACGGGTGAAACGGGTGAAACGGGTGAAACGGGTGAAACGGGGGGGGGGGGGGGGGGGGGGGGGGGGGGGGGGCGGCGGTTGCGCTACGGCAGCAGGGACGCGATGCCGTAGTGGTGAGTATGGTCTTGGTGAGGGGAAGTGGAAGTGGAAGGGGAGGGGGATTGGCGACGGGGTTGGGGAGGGGGTTGGTGACGGTGTCGGTATAGAAAAGCCGAGTTCGCGGGACGGCGGGCCGCGCTAAAGGCGTCCGCTCGGAGAAGTTCGCAATGCCATTAAGCCGCGGGGGCATTATATTCCCGGCGCTGCTCATTGTATTCAGATACGCGCGGATCGCATGGATATAATACATACGTGCGCAATATGAGCCTTAGTTACCATGCATAGGTCCCCGCTTGCGCCGCGCTACACCCACGACGCCGCTCTTACGTCGGCCGTGCGGTGCACGCGTGTGCGGGGCGAGGCTCGCTACTTTCGCGATTCCAATGACGCGGCTTGTGCTCGTATCTTCATTTGCAAACTCATTTACCACTTCATTATTATGGCGGCCCGGCGCGCTCCCACTCTTCGCGAATAGCGGAACGCTTGAAGACGAAGAAAGGCCGTTGATATGGTAAGCGAGGGGCCGGAGCCAGGCATTTTCGCCGTAATGCCATTTATGAGATACGATTTATGCCCTCGTAACGCTTTACCAGCCTAAGACTCTCCGATTAACATTATTCACTTCCGAAATTTATGCCTTTTTGCCTTTATTTTTTTTTTTTTTTTTTTTTTTTTCTTTTTTTTTTTTTTTTTTTTTTTTTTTTTCCATTAGCTCGATGCGCTTCCGGTATGCATGGCCGAGAGGGGACGATGGATGCTCACATTCGGACTTGCATCCCCATTTAACGTTAATGCTACTCGGATTTTCTAATAATCACAGTCATCGTGATTGTTCGTACCCATGCATATACTACATTTTATGTCTGCTCTATGCTAATTATTCATCTTTTATGCATCAATTTTATGCTTGCACAGAGCATGGTATTTTCCGATAGTAATTGATTTTCTTATGTATAATTCGAATACATTGATATTAGAAAATATTCTTTTTTTTTGCTTTTTTTTTTTTTAATAATACTACAATGTTATATTTGTATAATGATAATGCCGCTCTTATTTGGCATTTGTATTTGATTGACGTAAGAATAAAAGATTGTGAAAAACTATCGATGTCGGTCGATTTCTTTAGTAAATTTGGTCATTTGGCGGCAATTAATTATACGTTGAATTTTGTTATAAAACGAAACTATCGAATGTCATTCACTCGTAAATAATATACCGAAAATTATTGTTTTCAAAGGTGAGTAAGGATTAATATTATTGTTGTTGTTGTTGTTGTTGTTGTTGTTGTTGTTGTTGTTATTATTATTATTATTCATTAATTATTATTTATTATTACTATTATTATTATTATTATTATTATTATTATTATTATTATTATTATTTTTGTTGTTGTTGTTCAACGCCAATTTACTTATACAGGCCGATCCAAATTATTAAAGGGATGCCTCTTTAAATTCACTATGAATAAAACAAATCATCGAATACGTTCTACAATTGGTTCATATTAAATTTAATGCTATAAAATGTTCGTGACACATTATTAATCAATCAATAAGCGTTAATATTTGATACATTAAATGCATTGATCAATGGACATTGAATTTACCCGTGAGATTATCATAAATAATGAAAATTATATTCCTAAATCATTAAGGATTTTATTTATTTTCAAATTAATTAATCAATATACGCTAAAATAATTAATGTACATGCTATGTTTATAATGAAATATGAAAAAACAAACTCTATTATTAAAGCGTTACGTGAATCACGCATATTGAGCTTAAGTATATTTTGTCGAATTATTTGCTATTTTGGGAATCTCACACAGCCACACCCACACCTTGTCGCACGTACGTAGGGAGGGCGCGGGGTGAGACAGAGAGATCGAGAGAGAGATCGAGAGAGAGAGAGAGAGAGAGAGAGAGAGAGAGAGAGAGGCGCGCGCGCGCGCGCGTTCCCGCGCAGTCATAGGCATTGGGCCAACTGTCGATTCTCGCCCTAAAAGAGAATATCTTCTATCCCGATGAATAAAAGCCAATGAAAAAACCTCGTTTGCCACCACATCGAGACTCCCTCTTCCCTATTGTATGTAGCTGGTATGCAGATTGCAGATGCGTTGTATAAAGAGGCGGATTTTTTTGCTTATATTGCGCGCCATCGAGGGAAGATCAATATTTGCATGAGGCGTGGGGCGGGCGACGGCTTAGGCGATCGAGAAACCGTGACGAAACGGTGGGAAGATACTTCAGTCCTGGATGATTGCCCTCCATTATTACGTGGAGGGGGAGGGGGCGCGAAAAAACGTGGCAGCGTCGACGCCCTTTTGTCGGACGTACTTTTTTCGGCCTTTCATTGTGGATTTGCATTGACGAGTATCGTTGATTTATTTTCCCCTAACATAAGAGCTTTTTTCATTTTTTTTTTTTTTTTTTTTTTTTTTTTTTTTTTATGAACTATTTTCCTTGCATTTGCAAGATGTACTTACAAATATAAATTACGATTTTCTAAATTGTGTTTAATGACATCGTTGAATTAAAATCGTGGAAATTTTGAAGTTACATCATTCAAACATCGTTAACATCAGGATAACTCATCCAAATCCTATATTTTCATTTACACTGTTGTCAAAATAATATTTTTAAATAAACGTTCTAGTTCTCTCATAATCTCTGGTTCATGGTAAATTTCATGTACATCAGTTATTTCGCTTATTTTTAAATTTATAGTCTCAACTATAATATACAATAGGGTCTCATTTTTATTAATATATTAATAAAGTTTCATCCATTTTCATCATATACATATATATATATATATATATATATATATATATATATATGATTACGATTAAAATATTTTACTTATAATATTTGAAAGCAATATGAAAAGTATTTCTTTTTAAAACAAAGAAATTATATTTGCATTTATAATATTGATTATAGATTAAAAAAAAAAAAAAAACATCGTTTATATACAAGTTAATAATTCGTAATACATCGTTCGCTTTTTAATAATTTCACAAGGCTTTATAAATGATGATACGCAACTATAAGCGTAAAATAGAATTTTTATTAAAAAATATGTCCTAATTGATGATCCCGTTATATTATAATACTGAATTTTTCATATGCGAATCTATTTTAAACAGTTAAAATTACGCTTTGGATACTGTGTAAATAATTAATGAGAGCATAGGTAGAATAGCATTTAGTTATTATAGTTATAATTAAAAGATCATATTATTGTTGGTAAATTTATTTAAGAGCACATATGTAACTGTATTTTGCTCTTATAATTTGTTATATTTTATTTTATGCGACTTGTTATTAATTTAAAAAAATTCTGGCACAGTGCAGTTATTTACTCTCCACCCCCGCCCATCAGCATTGAAAGTTCATTAATAACTTGAAACAGTTAAAAAATTGTAGTATACATTTATTATGGTGAAGAAAAAGGATAACGAAGAGAGGTAAATGAGCAAAGAATCCGTCACGAAGCCCTGAAAAATGTTGGGACTTTGATGTATATTTGCCGATGAAATTTCGCGAATGTCGCGCATGCGAGAAAGGAGTTTACGCACGACATAAGAGCCAAGGCGTCTACTTGTCTATTTCGTAGTCCACTGCCGTTGGTGCGAGCGAGTGATGGTGGGGTGAGATGTATGGGGGAGGGAAGAGGGAGGGAGAAGAGGGAGATTCTTCTTTTGCCTCGCTAATGTGAAAACTCGCATTAAGTGGCTGAACTAGCTCGATGGGCTTTGATGTGTGCCGCTCTCACAGCTACTTGGGCAACGCTTAACGGCGCACGCGCACACGAGTGCTTGCACTCGAACACACGCGTAAATGCTCGCGTAAGCAAGTCGACTCGCACGCATGTATATGCAACAGCGCAGGGGTAAGGGGCAAGCAAATGAGCGAGAGAGCGAAAGAGGAGAGAAGTTCCCTCTCGGGCCTTCTAAACTACTCACTAATGTATATGTATGTGTGCGTGTGCGCGCGTGTTTGTATAGATGTACGTATACGTGGGCATATATACGCGCATACACGTGCGAATGAATGTCGGTGCACTCGAGTCTTCGCAATGCCATTTACCATTTCTTCCACGAACGTCGTTACCATGACGAGCAAGAAACATCGAGCGCACGTTGCGCAGCTCCCAGCTCCCAGCTTCTCCTCCTCCCACCCTGCCCCTCCCCTTCTCCTTCCCCTCCTATCCCGTCGTCCCATCCACCCAACCACCTTACCTCGTCTCACTCTTCATCAATGCCCGACAGTGTATGTAGAGGTGCGCTGCTTCGACAACGCCCCATCGTTTAATTAACCTGCGGCTACTGATAATGAGCGCGTCCTTCTTTCTTGTGTCGAGCCGCTCGCAACGTTTTCCGCGTCAGCAAACAAAGACAGAGAGAGAGAGAGAGAGAGAGAGAGAGAAAGGAAAGGAGGTAGATGCAAGAAGAGAGGCTGATGGGCCGCTTCGCGATCTCGGCCCCATCGATCTTGCGCTTTCCAACTGTCGCAGTATCGTCGGTGCGTGGCTTCTCCTGCGTTTATAAAAAAGAATACGTTGCTATCGAGGCAGTCTGCATTTTTAAGGACGCGATGCTGTTCCTCACCATTGGAAATTCAATTCTCGAGTTTTTGCGCTTTCCCTCCGCGGCGTTGTCTCGAGCGAGTGCCAGTTGCTCGGAGGAATACGTGGCTTAAAGAAAAGGCAAATATGGCTTACAATTCCACATAATTATTGTGTACACTTTATACACTAAACTACTCGTACACGTAATGTTATATATGTATTTCGTAAATTATTATTATTTAACAAAAGCTTTTTCTATCGATAAGATCGCCCAGCTTTCCGTCGGAAATCCTGTTTACATTATTTACATTACAACTTCTCTGTGTTGGACAAAAAATGCTACCGAGAGCATTG